TGTATATCTGGGGAAACATACATACCTGGAAAATGATAGGTATGTATGTATGTCTGCGGAAACATACATACCTAGAAACTATGGGTATGTATGTATGTCTGGGTTCGTAGTGAAGGCGATGGAGTCTAAGGCGAAGCATCGACTTTGATGTAATTTGCCGCGTGCTTTTCTCTTGCGCCACCTACAGGCTTGCCACCTGAACAGAAGAAGGCCGATAGATCCAGGAACACCTGACCACACCGCAACAAGCTCAAGATATTCCATTTCTGGAGGCTGCAATGCTATTCCTGGAGTAGACTGATGGAAAGGATGCGAGGTCTACTCCATCCAGCACCAAGCCTAGCTTCATCGAAATACTGCGACCCATCGTCTTGAGAGCAGTGCAACCCTGATCCCTTCATGCGCCCCCCCAAGAAGCAGTTCTCTGGGCTTCGGACGTGCCATTGCCCACCTGGGCCCAGCTCAGCAAAGGCAAGACATGCTTTTGAACACCCCGTAGGGGTATTAGTACAGGAAAACACCCGGTTGACTCCCTGGAAGAAGGGAAAACAAACCACAACCCATTGGTGTGGGGTTCTTTATTATCTTCTTTGAATTGCTATGAGTCCATGATGGGGGATGTTGGATTTGTACGGATTAGTACATGGATTTGTGGATGTGTGATGATGTGTGTGCACCTTGGAGTGAGTCATAGGTTGTCATAAGTCTTCGCTCTTCGACTACTGGCTTCAAAGACATTTCTCGGACGGCCATAGCAGGGAGCCGTCACAGAACGGATGACGCACCATGTGGCCATGATGTGCCCCTTGACCAAGCTAAACATACGGGACCCTTCGTCGTGTTATCAGGACACTTCTTGGGATCCGATCCATCGGCTACGTAGCATGTAGACTCGACTATTGGACTGGAATTCCGTCGGGGGACCCACCTGCAATCACCACCTTCCCGTCCCATGGCCACCTGGCTCCTCCAGCCTCCCACAACATCCGCAACCGTGCCGTTCCATGTACCCCATGTGCCGTCCAGCCGCTGTAGTGATGGCATGCCAGTGTTGAGTCGCTCTGGAGGCGATGGGATAGTCCGCACGGCCCTTGTCCATGGCAAACACGATGACGAAGTTCCTGGCCAACACGCCCGCTCGCTCGCTCGCGGGAGCCACGAAGCTCGCAAACGCGAGAGGTGACGGACCCAAAGACGTATGGCCGGAGAGGTGTGGGACCCTGACCGGAAGGTCGGTCACTTCTATTCCAACGACCCCCCGAAAACACCACCGTGCCGTTCGGAAAGCACGTGGACTTTCGGACCGACTTGGGAGGGTGCATGTCGCGCAGAATGCGGTGTTGGCTACACCGGTGCTGTGCTCAGGTGGGAGCTTCTGACAAACCTAAGAGGCCCTAAATCGCAAGCAGCAAGCATCCTGCACTCGCGACCCAAGTTGCCATCAAAAACAGTCACCCTAAAGATATTGCAAGATTTGCATCCAAAACCATCCCACCCCTGACGCCAAAACCCCACTTCATCGCAAGCAACGACCACAAAAAGCCAGAATTCCCCTACGTGCCTGCCCTGGAACTTCTGATATGCTGGAGTGCTCTCAGCCCAATGGATGATAGGCAACAAGTATGACTCCTGCAACTGCACCAGGCAAAGGCTATACATATTACAGTATACGTAGATCACATTATAGATAACTTTTTCGCCCGTTTGGGGTGCTATAGTCTACTGTAACAGTCTTGCCGTGCCCAGCCGAGCATGAAGGGAAGGATGAGCAAGTTCCCACACCTGCGTCAGCAGTAGGATCAGGTTCTGGATCATTCATGCTATAGATACAGATACAAGTTTCCTCAGTTTCCTCACTTGGACTATCCTTCTGCACTCCGTCAGTCGCAGTCCTGGACAATACGCAAAGCTTCCCAAGTCAGCTTCACAGTGTTGTAGCCAGCACCATAACCTTCAGACTGGCCGAAGAGCGTGGAGCAAAAGTTGCCACCCCAAAAACCTCTTCTATATACCCTTCGCAATCCCTGATGAGCCTAATCATCACATATCGCCACATTCACATGGAAGAGCAGCAGTAAAGGAAAGCCGGCGGTACCAGGCATTTATGGGTAATTAGTGTATCTTCATCTTCCGGAATCCGGAACGCAGCAATTACCAACTTTCGAGGTCAAATGCCCCCCCCGCCCAAACAATAGAGTCAATAGAGCTTCCACCATCCAACAAGCAGTTGATGGATGGTGATTAGGTGTTTCATGGTTCTTGGATGGCGTTCAGAAAAATCACCAGCCAAGGGGCGAAGCACATGGTACGCATAGGTCACACAGTGCTCCAACACCTTGGTCGCGCAGTGTAGGAACATGCGTGAGCACACGCAATGAGAACCCCCGCGGTGACTCACGCAGCGGCCAGGGCGCCACGAAGTCCGCTTCTTCCGGCGTGGCGGCCAGGAATTGACCGTTCAGCTCCTCGGACGCTCGAAGATGTCGAAAGCGATCGTGGAGGTTGGATCTGAGGGAAAAAATCCAAAAGTCACCGCGATGGTAGAACTGCCATGTCACTTTTTGGTGATGCCATGGTCTAGATGTCTCGACTTGGATAAGGTCTCGGAGGAGTGACACCACGTCCCTCACCGCGGCTGCGAGGAATTGCCGCCCCTGCTCAAGCCTTCGGCCTTTGTTTCGACGCTGGGTCTTCTTGGCACTGGTGCCAACCATGGCCAACACCTCCAACTCCACAAATCAAACTGTCGTGATCTGTCGTGCATTTGTGTCAGAACATCTTCACCTCGAACAGACCAAATGGGTGGAGGTTCATGCCCGTCTTTGAGACCCCCGTCAGAAGAATTGGAATGATTTTCAGTGGACTTTTGGGTGCCAATACTGAGACATGTGGAACCATCATTGGCAGAAGAGGCGAAGTTGTTCCTCAAGCTGCTGCAGCTTTGTCATGATTTGGCAACTTTCTATCTACTTGGGTTGTCTGCATATAGCCTGGCAACTCCCGGGGCTCATTGCATGCCTAGCATCAAAGAAGTCCGGGTACATGAATTCAAAGCTATACCTGTCAGAAGGCTTGGATAGGCTTGGCTTTCCAGCATGCTTTTTGGGGTGTCAACTGGAGAACTGTGGCTTCCTTATAGGGGCACGCAAAGCACGGACGGGGTTCAGTTACAAGCAAAAACACTATGTGGGGTGCCCAACAGTCTTGGCGAGGTGATTGTGAGCATGGCGCGGCACCAAATGTGAGCAAACTAGCCCGCTGGAAAATGGTGACTGCTCCCAAATGTGTCCTTAACAAATAATCACTTCTAACTCACTCCCTCAATCAATGAAAAAATATAGGAAATAGCATGAAAGAGCTATCCACTATCCACTTTGCACTGGGCGCCAAAACCCGCATCCCTGCCAGGTGGCATGTGCCCAAAGTATTCGCACCTGCCGTTCGGGGTGCCCATCCCGAGAAGCCGAAGCCGTTCGGGACGACCAGCGGACCGACGACGACCGACCGCATGTCGCCGACAGACCGGTCACCGCCTTTCGACGATGCACGATGGAGGGGTGTTTGGGGGTGTTTGAACCTAAAACCATGGCTAAACGATTCGTAGGGTTCCCCTCCGAAGACTGGTTGGACAGCGATTTTCTCTGTGTGTACTACCCCTCATGTCCTTGACTCAAGTGGCCATTTCCCGCACCTAGATTGCATGGTTTTGGGATGTTTTAGACAAACACGGATGCTATTTCATACTATTTCTGCATGTCCTGGTTGGCTTTTCGTTGGTCCTGTTGTCTGCAGCCATCCTAGCGCATTCAAGCTGACCAGCTCATCTCGCAAGAAAAGAGTATAATGCCTACCAAATCATACCAAAATAAATCAAAAATGCAGAAATGCAAACTGCAACTTGAACTTCAAGTGAGTCGGTCACTTTAAACCTATCTCTCTCTCTCTCTCTATTTCTCTCTCTCTCTCTCTCTCTCTCTTTTCACTGCCATCAGGTGATGACACAGCTTGTCGAAAAAGAACAAATACCTAGGCACGACTATACAATGGGACTGGCAGGTTCAACGTTATAACATTGTATATATATTCCATGTTTGGGTATAGGATGGATATAGGTGTTCAAGATGTTTCAAGCATCTTGAACAGCTCGTCCCCCAGAAGTGATGAGGAGGCCGCGGGCTCGGGACCCCAGCTCGAAGTCTTGGCCCTGCAGGCGCCGGAGCTCGCGGGGCGGCCGCAGCACAAAGAACTTCGCATGGAGCCTGGGCCACCGCAAGTCTCCACGGGTAGGGCATGGACGGGGCATAGGCTCTTGGAATGGTTTGTTGGGGTGCTGGGATGTGCTTGGAACGCATGGTTCTAAGATGTTCTAAGGCTATAGTATGCTATAGTTTTTAATGCAGGTCATCGTAAGTTTGGCGGCTGGCACTCCTGGAACGGCCGACTGTCGAGCTCGTCCAGCCAAAAGAGGCCTACTGCCCCAAACAGGTCCCCGCTGGAGAGTCAGAATCAGAACTTACGGTGCCGGTAACCACCTGTGTTCCATGTCTGGTGTTCACCTCATAAGCGGCGTGTCAATTCTTTCCCTGCAGGTCTTGCCAACTGTCCGCCATCTTCGTTGAAACACCCTTCGGAGCATCGCAGCCCCTTTTGTCGGTCCTTTTTCGGCTCTTCCACTGATCCTTGCTTCGTCTTCACACGTCTCAAGTCGAGCCCAGGGCCCGGTGCATTCAACGGCCTCCTCCGTCGAGGCTATCACCAGGTCGAGTCGCCGCGGATTCGCAGGCGGGTTCGCGGTCGCATGCGGTCGCAGGTGGCGCAGGCGGATGACATGTCCGTGCCGGCCGTGATCTACAGCTCGTTCCTCTTCAAACCTTTCTTGCTCTCCTTCCAAGCGGGGTGGTCACAAACTTCCAAACGAGATGGGTTTTGGGATTGTAAGCCCTGTGCTTCCAAACATCAATACGTTTAGGATCATTTAGGATAACATAAGGGTGACCATGCTTCGGTTAGGTGTCCGGGACTCCTCGTCCTGTGCATGTCGACGAACAAGCCTCCTCCAAAATAACACCTCCCACTTGACTTATGGCACATAATTATCCTTGCAATATCTTGCAATGCATTGCACCTTATGGCATTCTAGAACCGAACTTCTGTGGAGGAAATGAAGCTTCACCGCAAGGAAGTCAGTGCACGGCCCAAAGGCCCAAAAGCGCTCCTGGGCGAGAGCTGTGCATGCCTCTTCTAATTGCATCGTTGGCCTGAACTTTCGAACTGCTATGCCCTCAGGCCAGGCGTCCATGCTCACAAACTGCGAGTGCAGCATCCCAACCACCGAATGGGGATTGGAGTCAAACCAGCTCGCTAGACGCTCCACCACCGAAGCGCGCCGTTTGCGATAGATCTCTTGGCGAAGGTCCCGCAGTGAAAGGCGAAGCTGCATGGTGCTAAAGAACAACGACGGGGAAATCAAGGCAAGGTTGGGTGCCTGTGGAATGAGCTAGGGCCACGCTCAGACACATGCCAAGCGCAGTTTTAAGTTTTAATGCGATGTGTTTGCACACTGTGGCACCCAAGAAAGGGTATCCCTTGCTGGTTCTGGTGGACAAAATGTGTCCTTTATATATTATGGTGAAATGATGTGGCATGTGCCCATTTTCAAACGATTCTGCTTGTGTGCATGAGCCATGAGTAGCTTCATGAGAAAGCGTTAACTGCACGCAAAATTGGCAGGCGAGTTAACGGGAGGGTTTTGGGCCCTAGGCATACATGTGCATCCGAGTCATATACACTACCAAAAAAACATACCCAAGCAGGGTATCTTCACTAGCTCGACCTCCATGTCTCCCCCACCTGCAGCTCCGCGCAGTTCGAGCCCTCACAGTCGCGGAAGGCCTCGTCCGCGCGGTCTTGGTCCCAAGGGGTCGCGCCGCGCAGCATCTGCACCTCGAGGGGGCAAATGCGCACGGTGTCGCGATGCTGCAGGGAGAAGAGACCGTAGGGATTCGGGAGCCTCAAGCGAAGTTGACATGACGAAGGAAGAACGAAGCATGTGCCGACATGTTGGCTTAGAGTTTGGCAAGAAGTGGCTGACTGCGGGCACAGTCAGTTCGGGAAAAGAAGTGTGAACAGATTGAAGGCTGGACATTGATAAAATTGAAGATTTGGGAAATTTATGGAAATTGCACGGGGCTATTGAAGGAGGGAGAACCTGACAAAACAAAAGCGTTGCTATCATTCTTGGACCAGCTCAGCCGCTGATATCCATATAAAGCTTTGGCCTGCCCCCCTTGGACCAGCTCAGCATTGCAGTCCGTGTCGACCTTTCGCCAATCAATGTTGCTCCGATCCAAATGCTTGATGTAGCGATCTTGCCAGCTGGATCGAAAGCAGCCATCCTCCGCCAGATGTTGCATCAAGTGAGCTGGCACAAAAATTGTGCTCAGATTCTCATCGCGTCGCAACTTGCAAAGTTCTTGGTGTATCAATCGGGTAGAGTTCTGGTTGCACGATCGCATCGTGTCTAAAATCCCCAGCTCTGCGAAGTGGTTCAGGGTCTGCTGGGACTCCAGAGCCGGATGTCCACCGTTGGCATGTGGAAAAAGGTACATGACCCCAAGCCGCTGCTCTGCAGGAGGTTCTTGGAGCACCTCGGTGGTTCTTGGGCGTTTTAGAATTGGCAACGAACTCCTGGTGCGGAAATGACGCCATAATTACTCGAGACATATCATCTTCCAAACCCACTTATGTTGCTATGCAGATGTGCTTGAATTTGTGAATACACATCATTGAGCCTGGTAGTGGTTTGTGGTCTCATCCTCTGCGACGATGACAGCCCAGACCGTGATGGCCATGACGAGCACTCGAAAACGCAAGAAACGCATGAAGACCATGGCGCAACACTTGAGAAAAGCATGGCTCTGAAGGGATGAATCCAAATCCACATACCTCCTAATCTACTTTGATCTGTATATCCTGTAGTATAAATACCGAAAAAATCCTGATGATATATCATCATAACTATAATCCTCGGATCCATATGCATACCCTCTAAGAAGGCAGGGGCGAAGCCTCCTGGCACTCACCCAAGACATCCCCGGAGTCCCCAGAATCCCCATGGAAGCGTGGAACTCCGTGGGCCATGTGGCGAATGCATCTGAACTCGGTTGAAGGTGGAAACATGCCAGGACCTATGTCATGTCAGGTTAGGTTTAGCCTTCCTGAGGCTCAGGGAAGGGCACATGGAACTGATGAAAGATGATGAAACCATGACCTAAGGGCGAGCAGTGATGCAATGGGCCCTGGTTGTTTGGAACACATGAGGATCGAGTCTCAGAGGTGATGGGCCCAACTGATCAGTCTGAAAAATACATAAAAATACTCAACCTCTTCCTCTTTTCATCTCTTCTCATTGAGTCATAGAAATCAATAGAAAACACTCATACTATCAGTCATGCATCTCTTCATCTCGCCTGGGCTTCCACCACTCGTTTGCTGGGAGCGATTGGCTCACTTGGCGCTCCCCGACACCCCCCCGACACCCCCCCGACCGAACCCCCGACCGAACCCACCGACTTTCGACCGGTCCAGCCATCGCGGCGAGGAGTTCAGCGTGTCGGCGAAGTGCCATGGCAGCGGCAGATCCTGCGACCGCTGGGGCCGCTCGGCTCCCGGTGCCCACGAGTGGGAGAAGCCAGGACGCCAGGACCGGGAAGGTGGGGGGGGGGGAAGAAGAACAAACACCGGTAGACCCGTCACCGCTATCAGCACCAGGTCTGCTTTTTCAGGCGGCCCAGAATCCCAGAGATGTTGTTCTGTCAGGGATTCAAGTGTCCTTCTTTCAAGTTGCATTGGAGTTGCGATCCGGTCAACCCGGGTGGATGAACCAGCAGCTGCGATCCGCAATCTCTCACGTTGCGGCAGCTGCGGCACTTTCAGGATTGGTTTGCACTATGTAATTCTTTGTATTTAAAATAAAGTGTTCACTTCGTTCATCCTCTACCTGTGACTACTAGCAGCAGCCCCACACCCTGTTCCTGCCTCTGCCGAAACAGCTGCCAGGCACACGGCTACGAGGCGCAGCGCGAGGCGCAGTGCGAGGCCAGCGCCGGTGCTTCGCACAGCTGTGGCCATCCCAGAGGCATGGCTCGGTCCGGCAGTGCGTGGGTTGCGAGGTGTAGGATGAATCCAGGAGGGTTTATGCCAGGGTAACAGTCCAAGTCTAGGACTGCTGTTGGGTTGGGGGGGGGATCAGTTCAATACAGATCTAGTGACCATAGATATCCATAGATGTGCCGATAGTGGCTAGATGTGACTCAGATCAGAACATGCAGGCTGGAAAGGCTAGCGAAGTACATCACACAACTAACCCCAACCGAGAACAATCCCTGAAAGCCTGAAACACTCACTGAATCATTTTGAACTATACATGAATCTACTTATGGGGCCTAAGACACGCGGCGAGCACTCGGCAAACTAGGCTGACCACCGGCATCTATCTGCGTGATTCTTGTTGTCCGCCAACCATGTCCGGCTCAAACTCTTTCAGGCTGAGTTCGAGCCAAGGTAACCATACCACATCAAGGCACAAAGCGCCTGCTCGGCCAGAATGCGATGAGAAGCAACAAAAGTTCTTCGGTTCACCAACTGAAGTTGACTGCCCTCAAATATCCTCACCTATCTCTATATGTGGCAAAAGTCCAAGAAACAAATCCAAACTCAAACGAGATCGGTTTCAAGGCCCCACGAGTCCTCGTGTTCCTTCTCTCACCCCATCGGCCGGACTGTCAGAGGTGCATCCGCTCAGGTGGCCGCAGCATCTCTTCGCATCGCCTCTGAATGTTGCTGCGCCGCCCTGGTCTTCGGAGCGGCCGCAGAAACCGCAAACCGGCAGCCCCCACTGGTCTCTCTCTGGTCTCTTCCATGCAGCCGAGACAAATTCCTATAGAAAAGACATGGTTGGGTGTCCGAACACAACGCACATTTCACCTTTTTCCCCAAACAGGCCAGCTACTGTCCACCTCGTTTGGCGTAGCAGGGCGGGTTCCAAATCCCCCAAGTCCTGCAAAAATGGTGGCAGGTTCCCCGCAGACTGGGTAGACATTTGGGGTTCTCCGCAGGAGTCCCAACTTGCCCCTTGCTCCTCGTTCGGTCTCCGGGGATGCCCCCCGCCTCAGTTGGCGCCTCAAGCGTTGCCCGGCCGAAACCTGAGCTGATGAGACAGCCGTAGCTTAGGTATATCTCATTCCCTGCCACAGTGCATGATGATCGATGATGGAATACTAAAGACCTGACTCGAATAGTGATAATCTTTGGCCGACTGTTAGAGGTGGGACACACCCTAGCTGTAGCCAGAATGTAGGGTCGACCGATGGATCGAAACTCAATGCCGGACCTCTTCGAGTGAGTCATGACGTCGCTCACACCGAAAGGGAGCGGAAACCATAGTACTGTTACCGGTATAATATATATGATAAATATATCTATGTAATTAATTAAAAATATATACATATGTTATGTATAGTATGTACAATATAGATTCTACAATTTTTCCAGAGTATGGGTTTTGTGATGAGATGATACCGAATCCTACGAATCGGATGATCCCCAGACTCCGGTCCCATCCACGACCGTCGACCGGCGCGTGGTCCGAACAACGCACCAACGCGGCCCGGTGTCCGGACGAAACGGGCACGACCCGCCTCTCCCGGCATGGCATAACTGGTGCGTGTGACCTTCCAACCTGACGGCAGCAAGCGACCGACGCCCAGCGCGAGTCTGACGGTCGAGTTCAACGCGCCCGTGGCCTGGACTGTTGGACTCGCAACTGCTTGGGCCTGGCCACGAGTTTTCTCGGCCCCCGGCCTGCCCGACCCTGGATACCCCAAGTGGCCAAAGAGGATGGATTCAGTGAGGAGCGGTGTCCAAGATTTTCGACTTCAAACACGGCGGTGTCGGAAAAGAAACGTATCACACCACCTGGAAAATGGCTGCTGCACGAGATTTGGATAGATTTGGTAGAAAACCATGGGGAACAAAAACAACTCACTTAGATCACTTAGGGACCTTTGTGACTTCTGGTGCATGCTGCTACATCAACAAAGGGACGTCAGAGCTGCTAGCTAATCTTCCAACAACTGAATCTCCCTACATTCCCCATCCTTGGAAAAACAAGAACCGCCTCGCCTATTCCTATATAGGTATGTCGGGCACATCACTGGATGCATACCGGTGCCGTTCTTTGAAGAAACACTGCAATAAAAACTGCAATTGTTTGATGTGAACACTCTCCGCTCTGCTCTCAGCTTCCCAGCTGATCTGCGCTGTGCTTGTGGCACCCCACATGGGGATGGCCTCACCGAAAGTTCCGAGCTGTCTCGGCCGGGCAACCCGATGTTCGGCAACTCGCAGGTTGGACATCACTCCAGTGGTAGTAGCTTCTCCAACTGCCCTGATTAGGACCTGCTCAGTCCAGGGCAAGTAAGTATTCACATCAAGAACTACACCGGCTACACCTCCAAAACGTGACCTGTTCTTGTCTTTTGCGAGTCTTTTTATCTTTTTTGAGTAGATCATCAGTACCCTTGAGCAGCACCTGCCCACAGGATGTCTTATGATGCTTTGATGTGGTCAATCACGGGCACGGTGCTGGCCTAGCGCCGCCTCGCAGCCTAGCGCATGCTGAGCCTCAGCCGCCCCCGGCTAAGGCAAATGCCAAGGGCTTGGGCCTAGGCTTAGGCGTTGAAACGTCCAAGACAAGTACAGTTGCAGTCAACAAAACTGACTTCACCAGTTGCACCTACGTTGGAGGGCAGCAGTAGGGACGAACGACCATGTGCCCGAACGAACGACATCTCATCCAACGAAAACATCCGCCTCAGAAACACTAAGCCTCCAGCAGTGGAAAAGAACGCTGCCGCCGAACACCCTTCCGACCCGAGCCCAAGCCGGGCACCGTTTTGAAGAGCCCAACGGCACGAAAAGGAAGCGTATCACCCCGACGCACGGTGAAAAACGTCCTTGACGAGCCTTCGGTGACTCGGAAACTCCCTGCAGCTCTGAACGGCTTCGAAGTTGGATAGCCACAACTTTCGGTGAAACCCTGTGACATCTTCCGGGTTGCCCCAATGGAACTAGTACGAATACCACTGGCTCGCTGCTGAGGGAACAAATAACCCAGAGAGCTTGCTTTCTCCAAAAAGTGAAAAGCATCAGTTCCTTGTACTATCTTGTTCTCGAACTACCACCTCTCCATGTTCCCAAAACCCCTCACAGCACAGCTCAGCCTGGCTCAGCCCGCTTTACCCGTACCTGCTTTCCCGAGTTCCGGTCGCATTCCCGGGGAGCCAAACCACTTTGGATGGCCCCTCCAGCCCCGGCGGGGCCATGGACGCCATGGAACCCGAAAACCACTCTCTGGGCTGTAGAGGAAAAAATGGTCTTCCAAAGGTCCCAATTTCAGGTTCCATGACTCTTCCCGGGTGTCGTTGGTCCGACGGGCAGCGGCCTAAACCCAGTGGCGGGAAGGAACAACAACACCCAGTGGCCAGTCAGAGTGGATCCCTTCGCAGCCCGTGACCCAAGAAGAGCTGCTCGGAGCCATCAACAGGTGGTTTATTTTGGAGACATGATTGCACACTCCTTGAAATGATCATGGAAGTGGGGCTTGTCATCACCGGTTTGCTATGTTGGCATGTCCTTCAAGAGCACCACGCACATATATGATGCACGTTGCAAGGGCGACTGGGAAGGCTGGTGCATGCTTCTCGTTCTGGGCGCACCCAGGACGATTCAGCTGAGCATTCACAATTTGGAGAAGCAATATGAAGCAGCTGCCTGAGCAAGTGATTGGATGTGTTCACACATGAAGGCCGCGCGTCGGAGAACATTGAAACCTCAAAGAGTGGATACTCTTCTTCTTAATGGAAGGCTGTTTGCTCGACAACCTTTAAGCATGTTTAAGCTCTTGGCTTGTAGAGCACACAGCCTCCAAGCAAATCCATCAGCTTTGTGGAACAGCCCAACTTCCAGTCCTCAACCAGCCTCCACTCAAACAACCCACGTGATTCGATACACCCTTGTTGCATGTGGCAGACTACCTAATCTTGCGACTTGGATTCTCGCCAGCTTCGCGGGGTGGAGAACCAGCAGAATCAGCTATATGAACTTCAGGGCACTGGGAATCGGGAATCGGGAGCATGTTCCCAACCAATGCGCTAGTGACAAGTCACAGCTTCAAGAGTCCTTTTCACAGAGCTTGTCCGCTCGAAGTTTGTTCCACTGATGGGAACATCAAGGAAAATCGGCCGCCGTCAGCTAGCGGCCCAGCAGATCCATTCCAAAGGGGCGTGGCCCAGCAGATCCACCTCCAGAGTGTGACTACTGTAAGCAAGGTGCGACTTGGAGCAGCTTTGACCAAAACAACCTCAAACTCAGGAACTCATATTGATCATGTCGTTATTCCACTGAACACCCATGCCCACAAGCTAAGTGAGCAGGCTTCCCATGCCACTCCCATGCACTGTGGGAATCCAGCTCATATATTGACACAACTGTATAGGAGTGGCAGCTGAATTGGTAACATGCTGTTGTTCGACAACATGATTGGACTGTTCACCACAAGAGCCCTTTCGAGGATACAATCCTACCTCGGCATGTAGGCAGCGGTCGCATGATGACTTCACTTCCCAACAAGAATAGAAGGCTCAGAAGACACTACCCCAACAAGAAGACACTCAGCTGGTCCCAACAAGACACTCAACTGGCTCCCGCCATGTTTCAGAAGACGCTGCCCAGTCGACTTCGCTCACGGTCGCTCTGCGGAGGCTCAGTAGACCTCCACATGGTACCGGTCGGCCTTCCTGGGGAGCCGTGACATCCTAAGGATCCTTACAAGTGTGGGCATCCAAGTCGCCTCAGGTATAAACCCCCATATCAATGAAGGGGTGTTACAATCCAAACAGGGTTAAACAATCAAGATTCTACAATTGCAGCAGTTGCTTTGAAACATGGAACTCCATCGGTTCCTTCTGCCCCTGTCCACTTCAAAGTACGGCGAGTACATGTTTCTTTCCGCATCCAGCAATGGAAAAGGCTTATGGCCCACGGCTAGAATACACATGAATACACATGAACACACCATGGTACATCCCAAGCAGAGTGGGAAGAGAACAAGTAGACTAAAAGAATGGAAATATTTGGAGACGAGATAGAAAAAAGTCAAGAACACTAAAACAAAATAGAACAAGATAGAACAAGGCAAGTATATATATATATAGACAAGACAAGATTTGATTAAAAAGAAAAAAGTGAAAAACTGTACATGGGGCATGGGGAAAAAGCGTCAAACACATGTTGCTCATGTTCCCTGGCGACAGTCTTTAGGGCCCAACGCGGAGACGCCGCACATCACAGGACCCTCATCCGGGGGTGATCTGGGCGGCCAGATGCGGCCAGAATGCATAAACCAGTATCATACCCCATGATACCCCATGTGCATCCATTTGCTTAGGATGAGGTGACAACACTATGCCATCATCCACGTCTACATTTCAGAAAGTAGGTTGTCTGGATTGCGCGGCAAACTGTCAATCGGTGAAAGTCTGTAGTACTCATGTGCCAAGAAGAACGTTCTCATCTGGTCCAGTCTACAGAGTCCATTGTCCCGGTCGTTGCCAGCATAAACATGTATGAAACTTTTACCATAAGCAACGAAGGCCTTGCTTTGGGGTTTGCAGTGCGTGCGATGGTAATAGTAAGAAGGTAAGACAGCAATATCTTCTGCTCTTGTCTTCGTCCTGCGCTCGTCCAGCCAAAGGAATATCTAAGCTTTGTAAACATCGTCCTATCTCCTATCTGTAGTATGAAGCAGGTGGGTGATTTTCACCCTAGAATGTGGGTGCTCAATGACCTAAACTGGGGTCCAGGGCCAGGGTAGGCCAAGCATCTTCATGGCTTTGGCAAACTCAGTCCACACGAGGCCGTTCTTCTCGGCAATGGGGCCGAAGCACTCCGCCATGCCACTCTCCATGCCTGACTGGTCTGCACGTGGCTGGGATGAGGGTTCTCGTCACAATGGGTCAAGGACTAAGGATGGTGCATGCGAAAGCTTGAGCGCAGAATTTGAGGCCACCTCTGACCAGTGGAATTTTCACGGCAGGGCGATGCAAACCCTGCCGTGAAAATATCCGTCTTTTGTCCATGTTCCTATTTCAAGGCTATTTGCGGGCACACCCCATGGGAAAAGAACTGTCGTTGCACTGGTCACCACAAGTTCCCTCCAACCAGCGAGGTGGATCTTCTCAATCCTATCACTATCACTTGTCCATC